AGTCAAAAGCCCAGTCCCATCTCACAAAAAGAAGTTTTTTTCAGGATACCCAAGGGATGAATATATATATATTCATCATTTTTTAAAACAGAAACACAGTTAGAGGGGTCCAGAAGACGACAAAGAACAATGACAAAGGGGAGATTAAAAGATGAGAATCCAGATTTTTAAAAAAAGCCATTACATCCAGAAGGTTTCCATCAAATTCTATCACCATAACTCTAGAAACTCAGAAATGGTCCTAAAGGGTTCAGAAAAGGGGAAAGAAGTGGATCAGGTACAAAGGATAAAGAACAAAAATGATCTTGTATGTACTTCTAAGAGGAAAGAAAGACAACTAAAAAACAGGCATTTTCACCTTTAAAAAAACAGAGAAATGATATTTCAACTTGTAAGTTATTATCTAGACAATCAATCAAGCGCAAGGCTAGAAAGTGACATTTTAGACACAAAGTCTCCCGTGAATGCCATCTCAGGAAGCCACTTGAGGATATGCTCCACCGAATGAGGAAATAAAGTCAAGAAAGAGGAAGGAGACCAAGAAATGAAAGAAGCAAACGGGAATTCAATTCCTAGATGGCAGAGAAAGCTAGCACAGCCGCACAGCAGGTCAGGGAATGTAACACATATAATAAAAACCCAGAGACAGATATTGGGGTTCAAGCTGAAGATCAGAAAAGCAAACAGCCAGCCACTAGCTCTTACCTCTGTCTCAGACTGGGGTGATCCTGTCCTCACCGTGACTGGAAATTGAACACCTAAGACTGAATGCCTACTCTGAGACTCTGCTCCTGTCTTACATAACTCTCTAGTGCTGGGATTAAAAGTGTGAGCTGTTTCTCTTGTAGACTGATTCATGCTCATGTAGCTCTGGGTGGTCTTGAACTCACAGAGATCTATCTGCCTCTGTCTTGTGAGTCCTTGGACTAAAGGTGTGTGCCACTACTGCCTGGCCTCTGTGCCTGCGGCTAGCTTTGCATTCTGATATCCAGGCAAGCTTTAATAGATCATAAAAAAATGTATCACCACACAGGAGCAACCTGACCAGCGCAGAGATCAAAGCTTTCTGGGTGTGGGGATGGAACCACCCCAGAAGTACTAAGACCTGTGAGTTATCTAAAAGTTTTGATCCTGGGGGAATTATATAATTGACAGGGCTCTTGTGCAGTTAGGGAAGACAGAGACGTCCCCATGTTAAATAAATGAAAGCACAGCCAGTTGTGGTAGTGCACACTTAGAACCCCAGGGCTCAGGAGGCAGAGATGAGAGAAGGAATGAATGGAGGAGAGGGGAGAGATCAGGAGGTGAGAAAATGGGAAAGAAGAAAAGACAAATATGAACTTCAGGAGACACAGAAAGCTGCACAAGAAAGGAAGCCGTGTCACAATACTACCGCATTTAGCAGAACATAACGCTTCTTGTTGAAAATCAAGTCTTTTGATGGGCAGTGGTGGCACACACCTTTGATCCCAGCACTTTGGAGGCATAGTTCAAGGTCAGCCCGATCTACAGAGCTATACAGAGAATTCCTTGCCACTGTAATCTCACATGAGAGGAGGGATTTTCCTCCAAGTCTCTGTAGAAGGGCATACCCAACTGAAATTATGTGATCTCCATCATTGCCTAATGACTTCTCAAAGACCTAACCACCCAATGCCACCTTACAGGAAATACAAACAGAAAATAGTGAGCAGGGGGGCACATATCTGTCCAATAAAAACATGGCAGGTTACATGAACAAAATTTCCCTGCTGTCCTTAATGTCCTTAATCTCTTGCAGATTCTATCCTTGGTAACCCTCTGAAGTCTTTCTGTAGCCTCTGACAGATGTACCTCAGAGCTTTGGGTATCAAGACTCTTAGCTCTGGAATTCTCAGTGGCCTCCTCACCAGCACTGCTGCTACCAGACCTAGAATACCTGAGGACCCAGCTTCTTGTGCAACCACACCAACCTATTCTATTTTTGATAACGATCCCAAATAGGCAAAGACTACACTCAAGCAAAGCCTGTATCAGTGTCTACTGTTGTAATACCAGGGGACAGAGCAGGGCAGAAACTACCCAGACTTTCCTGAATAAAGTGGGCTTTTAAAAAGCCAGAAGAGGGGCTCAGATGTTATGTTCAGTCTAATCCCACCATTCGTAGTCCCATATATGCACAGCTTGCAATTCCACTGGTCCCAAGCCATACAAGGACCAATGGGCCAATCATAAGATTTTTGCTGAGTCATAGCAGGAGGATTTGCCGACTTCACTAAGTCTTCCAAAGCTGGTACAGACTGTGCAGAAAGAGGTCATGGCTGGAACATGGTCTCCCAGAGCAGGCCTTGTTGGATTCATTGCTGTCGACATTGCAATAGTTCTTGAAGCTCAAGTAAAGTGATTCCTGGATGCTGTGCAACGGTATTTTTTACACTGTGAAGATGTGTTGCTCTCATTGGTTTAAAAAAGAGCTAAATGGCCAATAGCTAGGCAAGAAGGGGTTAGGTGGAACTTGCCAACAGGGAGAAAGCCTGGGGATGATGAAGGATGGAGAAAAGCAAGATGAGCATGCCATACTGAAAAAGGAAACTGAGCCACGTGGTAGAACTTAGATAAGAAACATGGGTTAATTTGAGTTGTAAGAGCTAGTTAGTAAGAACAAAGGCCAAGAATTTATAATTAATATAAGTGTCTGTGTGGTTATTTGGAAGCTGGCTGGAGGGACAGAAAAGTCCACTTATACCTAGAGGGCCAAAGAAGCTTGTTTGTGCAGTGAGGATGCTGCTTAATCCAGGGAGCCACATAGAGAAGAGAATATGTCAGTTGTCAATCAAACAAGCAGCTGACTAGCTCACACATGTCATTTAAAATATCATTTAAAAAAACCAAAGGATACTTATAAAAAATCTAGGAAATTAACATTAACTGTGTTTAACAGTGCCCAAATCCTATATAAAATTCTTTAGAGAGAATTGTATCATTCTGTATTCAGTTTTGTGGAATGTTAAAGTAATACATATCCAAAAGTGAGTATTTTAGAAAAAGTATAAGAAAGGTATAGGAAAGATATGACTGTTTTCATATTAGGACATACTGATATATACAATAATATAAAATTCAGTTCAGTCACTAGATTTCCTTTTCTAGTTAGTTTCAATGCTTTCTTGTTAGAAGGATCTGCACCTTATTTAACTTTGATTGGTACTGATTTGTCATTTGTGTTTACTCTAGATGTGACTGGGTTGATTTTGCCAATCCAGGATGTGCAGTCTCCTGACTTGCGGTGTTTACCTAAGGGACACTAAGTTACAAAAGAGGATTATTCTCTTTCATCGGCTTCATTGTGTTTGTCCCTGCAGTGTCTTTGTCCCATACAGCTTCCCCCTGTCAGGCTGGGCCTTCTCTGTGTCCTTGAAAGCTCCTGCGCCCTTTTCTGTGACTTACATCACTCAGAGGAAGCAGGGCAGCACTCTGGAGTGGGGTGCATTCTTTCCTCTTTGTTCTTTTCCAACAATCTGCCGCCAAGGTGGGAGCTTTCACAACGCTAACTTACTGCTTCACTGTCCTAGAGGTTTAAAGTGAGTTTCAAGGTGTCTGGAGTCAAGCTGTCAGCAGGACTGCATCTCCCCTGAGGCTGGAGAGAATAGCGTTTGGTTGCCATTCCCAGCTTCTAAGCTTCTATGCTCCATGGTTCAGGAGCTCACTCCATTACACACCCTGCTTACACCAACAAACCGCCTGCTCTGATTCTCAGCTGGCTCACCTGGCTCATTGATAATTACTCTGTGATTAGTGGGTCTGCTCAGATAATTCTAGATCATTCCCCATCTCCAAATGCTTAATCACATCTGTAAGTCCCCTTCTTGTGTAAGGTGACAGATTCATGAGCTGCCCCACACACATGGATGTTGTAGAATATCATTTTAAGGCGTGTTAATTTTATTTATGCTTTGGGACAATTGTTTAAAGATGCAAAGATGTGTTTGATTAAATAAAATTCACCTGCGTTCAGGAAGCTGGGTCAGCAACTGGCTGACAGGAAGTTGTAGGGAGGAGCAAGGTGGAATAGGGCTTATAAGGAGGGCAAGAAAAAGCGGGACTCGTTGAGAGACCTGAGGAGATGATCTAGGTGAGCTGCTTGCTATTCAGCCTCTGTGGGAAGCAGGATTCTACCTCAACCTTTGAATCTCAAGTTCTTTAGACCGATTTAAATATGTTTCCTTAGTATCTTTGAAAGAGTTGGTGCCTGAGGGGACAGAATTCCCTCAGGCTTCAGCTCTTGTGGCCTAGCTGCTGCTGGTAACAGCAGAATTGCAGTGGCTGAATAGGATAGCTGTAGTATAAAAGGCAGAAACAATTAAGAAAAACAACACATGGACATCTTTGGGGTGACTGTATTCTTTTTAGCGATGCTGTGCCCGGATTCTTCCCAGAGCAGAAACTTTGATAGAAAATAAATAAATATCTGCTTTGGTAAAGCATGGGAATATATTCTCCAGAAAAATAAATGAGAAACCTGGGAATGACTATGAGTTAGAAGGAAGGCATTGTTTCTTTGTGGACAGGACATCACTACATACCTCTGGCTACCCACATACCACATAGACCAGGCTGGCCATGAACTCACAGAGAACCACCTGCCTCTGCCTCCAGGCCCGAGAAAGGCATTTTTAGGGCAAGTGGGCTCATGGACATGTTAGTTTTAGACACACCAGTTACCACACTTGTGAAGACTACCTGAACCACAGTTCCAAAGCAGCCACCCAAATGTGTGTTTCAAACCTTGCAAAAGCAATAGTATGGGCAAGAAAGCAGTGGCCTCAGGACCGCTGTCTCTGCCACCTCTCCTGTGCAGTGTGGCATTGCGTCTTCAGCAATCCTTAAAGAAACCCGACACTAACTACTTCAGCCCAAGGGACAGGGACTGAATCATAAACCACCCTGGAGATAAAGCAAGAAATAAACAAGCGGTCCCTGAGTTACCCAAAAGAAGAACGGTGGTGGAAAACTGCACCAGGCGGCCATTCATCTGGGTTTGAATTCTGAAGAGGACTAAACATGAAGCCTCTCACAGGCCACCACCAGCTGCTTTTCTTTGAAAGGATATTTCCCTGGTGATACCTACTGGAGCGTGGGCAGACTTCTCTCTTGCTGCATCATGGGATGTTCCCTTCCCCACCCCCGCCTTTTGTGGGAGTGTGGGAGTGTGTGTGTGTGTGTGTGTGTGTGTGTGTGTGTGGTTTCTTGCTCCCTGTGAGAACACAACCCTGCTGCCTGTTCCTGCTGCCGCTGCCTGACTCTCTGCCACTTCTTTCCTCCCTATTTCTCTTCCTGCTTAGCTCCCTTCCTGCTGGTAAGTGTGGCAAACACTCCCCCAAAGCCCTGCGAGGTGCAGCCTGTAGTCTGTAGTGTTCAAAACTTGCAGATGCCAGTGAATGCTGGAACGGCTTTCCATTGTTCAACTTCTAAAGACAACATGTCGATCAGGATCTGGAAGGGACGGTGTGTGAGCAGCTGCAGGGATCCCCAGGACAGGGGAAACTGTTCTCCTCACAGGAGGGGCACAGAGCCAATAAAGTTTGTAAAAGACAGATTTTAGAGTTTCTTTGCTAGAAAATAAATTACTGTATAAAAGGGATCATTTAAAGTTCTTTGACTTTGTTTGTATTTGTTTTTCTTTCTTGTTAATTTGTTCTGGGGATTTGTTAAGGCAGTAAATTGTCCTGTGAAGAAACACAGCTTACTCTGTTTGAAAAAGAAAGTTGGGGTTTGGGGATATAGCACAATAATAGAGCATTTGAGGTCCCAGGATTGATCCCAGTGCTTCTCTCTCTCTCTCTCTCTCTCTCTCTCTCTCTCTCTCTCTCTCTCTCTCTCTCTCTCTCTCTCTCTCTCTCTCATGCATACACACACATCAATTAACACAGAACAGGAATTTAAAGAATATTCATGGGCCTAAGTATAGAAAAAGAACAATGGATCACACAAACGCTTTCATGCATCCTAACCATGGTAGAATGCCTAGGGACGATTTGAAATAGCTGCCTTGAGGTTTACTTTAGATTTCATCCAACAATAACCTCCCTACACTTACAAGTTCACATACGGTTCAAACCAGTAAATGCTCCCTATTTCCAGTATGACTTTGCCGCTGTTTTCTTGACTTTAGGGACAGAATCGAAATGTTAGAACTTATTTTAGAAGAGCCGAAAATAACTTCTGGCTGGACAGCAGGTGACACGTGTCTCTCTCTGCACTGGGGAGAGGCAGGAGCTATTTATAGATGAGAGTGTAGTAAGCAGAGGTCAGGATATAAAGTCAGGATATAAATTGCTGTAATGGAGACATTGTTGAATTTTGTGATGAGAAGTTGATGTACTAAAACTAGTGAACTTCCTTCTAAGTCAGCAAAGGCTGGGCGAGCTCCACAGGTAGGTGGGGGTGTCTGTACGTTGCATTTTCCACTGTCTTGGCATTGAAACGTTCTGACACCCACTGCCCTAAAAGTGGGAGAAGGAAGCCGTGTGGTTTGGAGAACAGCATGCTTTTGTTCTTACTTTCATGCCACCACAGCAAAACCTGTGAGGCTTGAGGATTTCACCATATTTTTATGCTGCTAATTAGTAGCATCATTATTACATTCTATTTGCAAACAAAATGTACCAGAAGGTTAAAAAAAAAAGCCTGTGCCAAATCTATCCTCCACTCGAAGTGGTAAGAGCAAAGCCTTGATTGTATTGCTCCATATTTCTCAGAGTCCCTATTATATCTGGGTGGTATTGTTACAGCAGCAGCTGCTGCTGCTGATGGGGGACAGGATCACAAGCCGAGGCAGGCCCAGAACTTAGTATATAGCTAAGGCATGCCCCATTCATCCTGCTTTGAGCTCATACTGTATTTGAGTTATTTCTCTAGTTGATCTCCCTGTTTATTATACATTGCCTTTTCTTAAAATTCTTACCCTTTCTTAGAACTTTATGACTCAGAAAATTGTAATTTCTTTTCTTCTAAAATAAGGTCAACTTTTGGAGTAGAAGAATAGCATAGCAATTAAGGAACTAGCATTGTAAGTGGGTTGGAGAGATGGCTCATGGATAAGAGCACTTACTCTATAAGCAAAAGGATTTGAGTTCAGATCCTAACAACCATGTAAAAACCTGGTGTGGTCAAATGCACCTATCATTGTAGTGCTGTTACGTACAGAGACAGGAAGATAACTGGGCCTTGTTGGCTGCCAGCCTAGAGGTGGGGTCAGTGAGGGACCCTGTCTCAAAGGAATAGGGTGGAGAGTGCCTGAGCAGGACACCTGGCATCCTCCTCTGTCCCCCACATGTGCCCACATGCAAGCACATGAGAACACACTTATAAGCACCATCATTCTTCCATATTATTGGCTTATTTATACATCTCCCCGTTCCCCACTTTAATTAAAATATAATGCTGGCCTGAAGCTCAAAAAATTTTTTGCTCCTTGATGTTTTTGCTCCTTGCATGTTGCTTATTATCAGGAAGAAAATACTATAAAAAGGATTTTTACCTAATAATGTATTTATATTAAATTATGCAAATTGAATTTTACATAAAGATTAAAAATAGCTTATGGAAGTAACTATAATGAATGATTTTTAGTAAGCACAATGGTTCCTGTATTATATATTTTAGCTTTGGAAAAGAATGTCTATATGCATGTACTTTGGAGGACTGTGAAGTCCACACATGAAAATCTTAATACAAATTGACAAATATGTTCATACACAAAACAATACCATGAGTTAATTCAGACTATTTCAGCAATAAGATACTCTGAAAATGTGAAGATTATACCCAAAATATGACAGTAACATGACTTTATTTTTAGTGTCGTGGTATATGATAGTTCATTTTTTTTTCTACGACAGAAACTAAAGTTAGCTGGTACCTATATCTTTATTGTTAATCTGTAAGTGTGTTCATTACATAAAACCTAACCTTTCTTCCCACCAGATACCACTCCCACATGGAGACTAATCACCCTAAACAACTCTCAGCTGAACAGCCAAAACCCCCAGGGGACAGTTCATCACTCAATCAAAATGGCCTGGGAAAGCCAGATGGCCAGCAGCCCTCAACCTCACTCGGAGCACCAGAGCAGGAGACAAGTGTACATCCTGAGAAGGGAGCCCATGACATCTCTGAAGAGCTGAACCGGCAGCTGGAGGACATCATAAACATGTATGGGTCAGCAGCCAGTCCCACAGGGCAAGAGGGTACCACTGAGACTAAGGAGCAGCCCGAAAACACAGAGGCACTAGACAATGAGGATGGGGACTGTGAAGAGACCGTTGAAGAGACAGACAGAGAAGCCACTGCTTCTGAAGAGCCAGCCTCAGCCAAAGATCCTGCCAGCAATAAAGAGCAGAAACTGGAGAAGAAGGTCCTAAAAGGGCGAGGCAAGTACTATGTCCTAATAGACGACTTTTCTCCTAATTATCCCATTGGCTTTGACTTCACTAAAAGCCATGCCTAATATGTTTGAATTAATATAGTATCCCCCTTTTGGGTTGCATTTGTCCCTAGCCCATTCCTTTAAATAAAACTAAAGTAAAATTTTAACATGGTGCCTATCTACTCTACCTATGTGGCTTCCCACTCCGCTCAGAGAGAACACCAAAATTCTTACGAGATTTTTTAGTCCCCTAAACGGATCTAACCCTAACCAGGTTAAGCTCGATCTCATTTCACAGTATCTCTTTCTTTCTCTTTCTATCCTTGACCCCACCTCTGCTGCAGCCATTCTCATCTTGCATTTTGATTCTCTGGACTTCCTTGTTCTCTCCTCTGCTCGTTTTGCATTGCCGCCCTTCCAGCCTGCTGAGCAGAGAACCCCTACTTAGCATTTAGCTCAAAACCAAATGGCAATTTCTTAGCCATGTGTCCTTTTTTCATAGTACTAGGTAGCATTTCGAATTACACATTTTGGGGGAAGAGCATTTGGTTAATGTAGCTAATTCCCAGTTGAATTTTTTTTTCAACCTCAAGAACAATGCATGTTTATGGGAGTACAGAACAGGAGATGACAAATTAAAGGCTCAGTAGATGTTTGCTATAGGATGAATATATGAAAGGGAAATTTATACGGGAAACCTAAAGCAAACCTGGTAAATAAGCAAAATATAATAAATAGGGATAAGTCCATTGATAAAATAATTACCAATTCGATCACTTGCTAGAAAATAGTTTTGATTGAGCACAGATCACACAAACTGGGGTTACGTTTGCCACAAATGGCAAAGGACCCTACCTGCGCTCATCAGTTCCTCATCCCATAACCGTTGGTTAAGGCCTCACTGTGTTGGGAGCCCAAAAAGAGATGGTCCTTTGGCTAAGGGTCTCGGTACAGAGAGAAAAGCAAACACGCGCACAGTTACACAGCAGAAACAGGCAGAGGAGAAGATATTTTTGAGCAGCATGGGGGATTGGGAGCACCGACAGTAACGGTAGGTGAAGGGAAAGAATACTGATTTTGTAGCTGCAAACATTACTTCACACAGGAAACCCCCTCAGTCTGTCCCCACTAGTGGCTGCCACTACAGCGCTCACTTCAAAGACCACTCCCCAAGTAGACTGTTAGTATCACCTTCCTAACTTCTCCATTAGGTTTTCTCCAGCTTCCCGTGCTCGACGGGGGGAGCTCTCAAGGGGTAACCACGCACTGTTCATCTGTGCAGTGTGACAGAGTGAAATGCCAAGGACACTGAGTCCGAACTTTGTTCATGCCCCACATGCTCCAGTAACAGATGCCGATCTATAAACCGAAGTCATCTCATTAGAGTAGGGGACCACTGTGTGCATAAAACTCACATGAAAAGGATTTCTGGAATGGTGACCCCCCCCACACACATAAAGATCACAACAGCATTTAATTCACTCTCACATCCCAAAATGCAAGGCTGAATCACTCTAGAACACCAGGAGTCATTATAACGTCCTTCTGTGTTCAAGAGCAATGTTTCACTAATTCTAATAAAATCAACTTGGATGTGCCTCTTGGCACTGTCACATTAAGGATCCAGGATGTTCCTGAACCATTGTGCACATCGCTCTGAACCATTTATGTTCGGATTTCTGTGTATCGGCTGCACTAAGAGCAAAGTAGGAGTTTGAAAATAAGGGGAAATTAAAGACAACCAATTGGAGCTTCTACCTTCTCTGCCATGAATTGTTTTTTTATAAATCTGTATCATACTTAAAATACCAAATAATTAGGACAATTTTGCAGAATGAGAAAAAATTACACTCCTTTATTCCCCCTGCCACCTCCTACAGATTACCATGCTCCAGCCCAATGTGTTTGGCTAGAATTTCTGTTTGTGCATCAGAGGCCAACTCTCAGCATGTGTGGGCTGGTGGCCTTTCGGTGATAAACCACTCTATATCATTAACATATTCTTCTACACACAGCACAGTCTCAGCTATGCCCCCAGTTATAACAACATTTTCAGGCCAGCCTACACATAAAACCACCACTTCCAACTTAGCTGCCTACAAGTGGCTTTAGGAAACTTCTTGGCTACTTGTCCATTACATTGCATTACAAGCATTGTCTACAAACTTGACTGTGTTTAAGCTAAGTTCAGAACTTGTCAAAACTCTGCCTTGCATAGGGATTCAGAACTGGTGTACATAAAGCCAGCTCAAGGCACTATGACAAGGACAGACAGCAGGTTGTGGGAGAAAAGGGTGCTCTGGCTTCAGAAACTGTTTCTTCCAGCCTTAGAGTAATAACGTTCTGACTGAGGGCTTCTTCCTAGGGGAAGAGCTTCCCTGGGCAGAAGGAGGGTGTCAGACAAGATAAGGCTCTGCCTGAATCTGCCCATTTACTAGTAGATACTTGTAAGTCTTTTTATAAAAAGAAAGCTGCTCAGTAGCCTACCTGTGACTGCAGAGGGCTGCCACTTCTCTGAATAATAATCCTAAAGATTCCAGAGAAACAGGTCCCTTGTGGGATATTCCATTCATCACCACTGACTACAGGTAAAGCTTCAATATACTGAGATACCCATAAGCAGGACACTGTTAACTCCGTAACATCTTCAGACACCCAGTTACTTCCTCATCTTCTTAGAACAGTCACACACACACACACACACACACACACACACACACACACACTTATGCAACAGAAGATCTGGTCAATTTTTGGTTGACTTATACATATTCTGAAAGGACAACAACATGTAGCTTTGATATGAATTCTTCATGTTCTTGAGGGAGGAGAGCTTGAACTCAAGGAGAAGAGGAACTGTCGGGACTCAAAGATGGATGAGTAGGTTCACAGAGAAGCAGAAACTTGGGTCAGAATTGAGTAGAGAGAGGTGTTAGAGAAACAGAGTCAAGGCTCAAGAAAACAAGTCTGCAGTGAAACAATTTGTTCCCTCTTTTGGGCACAGGAGATGGTGTACATGTTAATTCCTTATTACTCTTTCTGAATTTTTTTCATGATTACTAGTAGTGAAAATACCTTACCAGCTAGCTGACCTCATGAGAAACCCAGGTCTCTTCTCACAGTGAGTGAAAGGCTGAAGTTCCAAATGCAACTATAACTAAAATTTCTACAGCTATTTCAATTGTCCAAAAATTAAGGTTCTTAATTTCTTTTCCAAATTATTGACAAAAAATAATTGCTTAAAAACTGTCTTTTGTGTAAAAATAGCTCCTTCATACTCAATTGCAACAGTGCCAGTGCCACAGTGTCGTCCTCATTGCACAGGTCTTTAACTTTCATATAGCTTCCCAACATAGTTTGCTTTGACGGTCATATGCCCACTGCAGGCCCTCCTCAGCTTTCACAGGGAGAAACGAGGCTTCCTTCAGAATGGTGCATTAGGGAGAAGGCAGATGATGCCCACCTGATAAAATGTCCTGGGGTAGAGTCAGGTTTTCCTCCTGTGTCTAATATGCCAGCACACGGTTCTGTTTCCACGGAAATGGACTAACAGTTCTGTTAGAGATTGAGTACATACATCTCTGTCCCTCTCCTCCATGAGTGTCCCACACAGAACCCCAGCCCCACGGAACCCATGCAAGTTTAAAACCTAAGGTTTCTGATGAGTTCTGAACCATGCCCCTCTCTAGTTTCTTTCTTTCTTTTTTTTTTTTCCTTTGGTTTTATGAGACAGGGTTTCTCTGTATTGTTTTAGAGGCTGTCGGTCCAGCCCGGCCTCGAACTCACAGAGATCCGCCTGCTTCTGCCTCCCGAGTGCTGGGATTAAAGGCGTGTGCCGCCGCCACCACCACCTGGCCCCTCTCTAGTTTCTTGAATTTTCTTTTGAGGCTGAGAACAATCTTTGAAGGTGTATCGATACACTGGAATGATAAACATTTACACTAAATGGCAAACTTCTAAAGCAGAATGGGACCTCAGTTAACATGAATATTGTACAGTAAGAACAACAAAATGGCCTCTGTACAGCTACAGAAAATACAACCCAGAGACAAACCCTTCATGTGAAAAAGAAGAAACCACTGGAGTCACTCATTTCTTTGCCCTTCCAGTAAGACATGCAATAGCTTAATACTCACCACGAGAAGTGATCCCACACACTGAATCTCCAGGTGAGGGTGAAGGTTCACCGTCCTCTACTCAATTAGGACAATGACATTTGAGTTTTCTGATGCCTGTAGCTGACAGCTAGCTTTATTTCACTATATTATTAAGGTTATTTAACATTTGCCATGGACCAAATACTGTGCTAGGCCCTGGCCCTAACCTGAGGAACAGAGCGACTTCCTTGCTTTTGATAGGTAAAAATGACCCAGGAGAGCAATCTCCGCATGCCCACATTCATGGCTCTGAAGTCAAGGGTGAAAGGATGGTCTAGCCAGTGCAGATGCTCCAGCTGTCAGAAGAGCAGCCGGAAGTACATGCCGAGCAGAGGCAAGCATCAGATTCAGTAGCCACAAAGAACAAGGGCTAGGAGCTGGGTGGAGCCCCTCACAGCCACTTTCTCTCCTGTGGTAGGCCAGTCTCAGATCTGAACTGACTCACTGAGCCAAGAGAGACCATTATGAAGATAAACATTAGAAATGATGTCCCCCCTTGTTTCACTATGTTTCTCTACCACCGAAATTCCAAGTGAGATCTTAAAGCAAGTCAACTTGGATTAAACTTTTGCAGTATCAGCAGCAATTATATATTGTTGGCGTTTTCTGGGCCTTGGATATTTCATCTAGAAAATTAAATTGGCTAATCTAGATGTCTTTGGAGATCCTTCTAGACCTAAAATTTTGTAATTCCATGTGGGCTTGCCATATTTAACAAATAAGAATATAAGGTGTCCACAAGAATTGAGTCATGAGTAAACAATGTATGTAATTGTATACATGCATGTCTCATGCCTGTCTTTTGAAGGCAATCCTAATTCCTGATCGATTTGCTCGATCTCCAGGATGAAAGCAAGTATTCCAGCCCAGGGGAAATGTCAGTTCTTATGGAAAAGGTTTCAAAGTTGCTCACATTCTTTGTCAAGGTTATGTCAAGAAACATGGGCTCTCCTCAGTGGTCTGACCTCCTTACTGGGAGTACACCAAGTAGCTATCACAGATAGGTGAAGAAGGGAAAAAAATCCTCCACCAGGGCAGGATGGCTTGCAAAAATGTAATCAATAGTAAATGTGGGCCCAAGCATCCCAGACATCCCTCCTGACACTGGCCAGATGGTTAACTAGCACCACAGAGAGACAAAGCTAAAGGAGACAGAAGGAAGAAGGCAGGGAGAACCTAAATCTCTCTCTTAAGTAATCAGGAACATATGAGTTTAAAATATGGCTTGATGACCAACTGGGGAGCAAAAAAAAAAATGAAGCTGCCAGCAGAGGTTGAGGTCTGGGTAGAAGGAATGACTGCAAGAGAAGGCTGAGCCCAAAGTCATGGGCCACACACCTGTGAAAGAAACATCTCCGAGGTTTGGATCTCTTCCCTTATACATTGGTTTTTATTCTCTGGTAGGTAATGTGATTAGAGTTATTCCCACTCAAGCCTGATGAATAGGTTTGGCCAAGAGGAGAGGATTGGTTTAAAGGAAGATACAGGACAGTAGAGGACAAGCAGGCTCTGCTTGGGCTGAAGTTCCAGCAACATGTAGTGATACCGGCTCTTTCTAGCTCATCAGGAATTCTTTTTCATTAGTTGACATAGGAAATGGGTAATTTATCATTTCATAAAGTCAGTGTTGTGACATACTTACCTTTAAAATATTTAGGATACATAACGGGGAGTAATGGAAAATTTGGGACTACTGTTTTTAGCAAACATTTACTGAATTCTACCTGAATTCGACACTGATTCACCCAAGCTAATCCTCACTCTGAAAGGCAGGGGTCATCCTTTCTCATAGGATGACAAAACTGTTGTCAGAGGCTCAGTCAAGTTAGTGGTTTGGTTGAAATTGGTTCTAACTTGCAAGAGGTTGACCCTAATTTGCAAATGATCAGTAGGCAATAACAGCCCTATCATCCTACTACAAGTTCAACACTGATTTTTAAATTTTTTTTTCAGGCAAAGAAGCTAACTTGCTAATGCAAAATCTGAACAAGCTGCAAACAGCTGAAGACAAGCTTGATTTTTTATTCAAGAAGTATGCTGAGTTGGTAAGATCTTTGATCTATTCTTTCTGTCGGAAATTCTCTGCTCTAGTCAGTGCTGCGGAGAGATGGTAGCTTCTCATGGACATCATTGTAGAACACAGCTAGTTACCATAAACAAGCCCAAACCAGATTGACAGAATTCTAGAAGGAAAGTATTTTTAAGGAAAAAGGAAAGCTGAGATGTAACAATAGAAAGGAAAAAGCAGATAATGGTCCCTGTGTTCAATTATGTGCATAGTTTGGGGAAGAGGAGTAGAGATAGTTTAAATCTGTGGACATTTTAAAGTTCCTGTCAGCTTTAAAGAAAAACAAGACTGTCTCTATAAAGATGAATGAATATTAAAGTTTCACTCATCTTCTACATGTAAGTTTCCCAAGGGCTACAAGGGAAAGTTCAGAGTGGCGTTATTGCCACCTCACAGTCCAGGGCACTTTCTTGTCTGGCCTAACCCATTTCTTCAGTTCTCTTCTTTGTTCCCCATTCTTTCCCTTCCCTACAATGACAAAGCCATCTACAGGGCTGCTTAGTGCCCACCTCCATCTCCTCTACCAACAGCCTCACTCCATAACTCAGGGTCCTGGGAGCAAGGGAGGCCACTTCAAACCGTCCAAGAATCCCAGAAGGTTGTCTTCTCTTCTGTGCTTTAATTGGCCAGTGTAGAAAAGGGAAGGGCTTGGTGAGGTCAGTGCTCTGGTATTAAGGAAGCCTCACCAACACCTGCTGCAATAAGACGGGCAGGAAAAGGCAGCCAAAAGGAACCATCTGAGGTCTGTACACTACCTTCCTCCTTTTCCCCCAGAAATGAGATGGCAAGGTGCTTTTGACTCATGAATTATAATTATTATATTATGGATTATTATTATATTATATTCTTTAAGAAAGTGCTTCTCTTCTAGAGAAGCAACATGTAAACAAAGCACAGCACAGAACTTCCTCCTGGCAGGAGCTGAACCATCTCCCCTCCTGGGCAGATGAGTTTTCCAGCTCAGATGCTCCTGTTCGGGGCCTCCTGCTAGTAGCATGCTCCCCCACCCCAGGAGGCCTTGAAAGTAATTTCATTTTCTTAATTCTGTTTTTAGCAGAGCCTCCCAAACCTCGTAAGCATCGGGCCCACAAACTCCATGTCTGATGATAGTTTGGTTTTCAATGACTCTGGTCCTGTAATCCCTGTGTGTTCTTTCCTTTCTAATGACTTGACAGATCCTGGTAATTTGAGTTGTGATACCATCGACACAATACAGTTCTGAAACCCTGAGTGCCCAGCTGATTGCTTAACTTTTAGTTATTTTTATTCATACTTCCACATCATGATGACCTAAGAGTCCCAAAGACACAGCAGGATTATATTGTGGACTATTTTAAGGTGTATTACATGTCTTTCTATTGCTTTCAGTTACAATGAAAAAACATTTTCCATTTGTTCGATTAAATAAAATTAACCTGGGGTCAGGAGGTTGAGCCAGCAACTAGCTTACAGGAAATGGTAGGGAGGAACTAGGTAGGGAGTGTTCTTAAGTGGGAGTTGAAGAGAAGGTCTCCTGGGTTTTTCATGAGACACTTACAAGGAGAGACACTTACAAGGAGAGTGAGCAGAATTTCACCTCAACCTTTGGATCCTGAGTTCTATAGAAGGGTAGAGATCTAGATATAGTTTCCCTTAGTGGCTTTGAGAGAGGCTGTGCATGAGGGAACAGAATTCCTGCCAGCTGCAGCCCCAATGGCAGTTGCTAATTAGGAAGGCAATTGCTTAAGGGGCAGCAGCTGAATTGGTGAAAAATGGCCACATCTCCAATCCATCATCTAAAACACAAGTTCTGCTTTATGCCTGATCCTTTCAAGCTCTATGCAGCCAGAGATGGAGTCACTCCTGCCATACGGCACAGACGAGTTGATTTTTTGTTTTCTTGGCTCACCTGGCATTTTCCGGTGTCGTTCAGTCTGCATATGCATATTTTGTTAAGGCTGTGTTATACTCTGTTAAGTGGCTCTATGTGCTGACTCACCCATTTGGGAGACAGTGTCCTTCCACTTCAGAGACTCCTGCTGCAGTGAACACCATCATTTATTAGAGTTGTTCCTTCTCCATTATGGTTTTAAGGGAAAGTTCTAGAAGTAGGAGACCTGGGTCAAGCAAGAAGAATGTTTGCTTTCCAGTTTTATGGCCATGCTGCTTGCCAAAAGAAGGGTAGAAATTTTCAAAGCAATTTAACATTGATGATTAGCAATTTAAATTAGCATAACCTAAACTGGAAGTCAAAGATCTTTTCTGCCGAATTTGGGTCAAATTCTCTCATGGACACCACAAGACTCTCACTCATCTTTGCTCTTTTTTCAGTACTTTCTGTACTGTCTGTCCATCATCCCTTCGACTGAACGACTACACTCCAAGGCCATTATTGTCTATTTTCTAGCACCATATGCTATGCTTGGGAGGACCAGGAGGTACTGTGGACTGTCACCTGACACCGTTCTACAGCAGTACACAAGAAAAGAATACTTCTCCAGTCTAAGGGGGATTTCTCCAAGAGCCAGGGCTTTTCACCCTGGTCCCAAGAAATCCCATATACCAACTCACTAGCCAGAAATCACCCCAACAGAGATAAGCCAGTTCAAGCCTTAGAGCATTTGTCTTATCCCTGTAACAAAGTTTAAGACCTAAGAGGTCATTTTCAAAAACCGACCCAAAAGGCCAATTACATTTCCTTTTCAGGGAAAAAAATCATGAAAATTTTTAATTATTTGCATGGCGACAAAAAGTTTTTATCTCCATGTAAATAATTATTCCCTTGCTCATTGATTAGGATATTAGTATAGAAAATGTCTGAAATATAATGGTTAGTATGGAGTAAATTCCTAACTCTAATTCTTTAAATCGAACTGTCACTGTAGCTCACTCATGCTTACATAGCCTGAAGCCTGTAATATTATCTGCCATTGTGTTCATCAATAAATAAGGACATGTCCATTAATAAGTAAGGACACTTCGTGGCTGCATTCAGAAATGGCCTTAGAAAAACATTTTCTGGAAATTTCTTCAACTTCTATATACTTAAAAAGAATCATTAACACAATTCTAATTTAGTCATTGGCACTGATTGTGCTTTTATTTATTTTTTTAACTTAATAAAGAAGAAAAAACAAGAATTTCAGAAAAATACCTGTTACAAATTTCCAGAACCATGCCTACATGAATCATTTAACTTCACAGCCAGATCTGGGCTGAGGGTGACTTGGTTGTAATGTTCATTTTAATTCATTAACACTCCCACCCCGTGTTCAAGTCTGAATTACTTGTAAAGAAAACATCAGCCAAACATTAAGAAATGTAGGACATTCACAATCTTTCCTTTTAAACCTAAGGAAAATAGATCTAGCTAAAATTTTAATGTGCATGACCTTATAACACAGCCAAAGATTAAACATGGCAAAGTACGAATCATCTGTCTTCCGCCTTATAAAGCACACAAAGTATATATTTGTTTCAGGGCACACAAAGAATGCTGTGGTCTTGTTCACCAAGGAGCTATAAGTGTCTCTGACTGGAGATATTTCTTCATGTCACAATTATATATGTTACTGTCATACAGTAGATAGAGGGGCCCAGGTTGATGGGCACATAACAGCCCATAATACAGAGGATTCTGCACAATACAAAATTATGTCCACTTTGTCAACAGTGGTGAACTTGCAAAGTTTTGACATGTAGCTTAACCATCAAAAATGAAGTCTAATCTATATTGACAATATTATATCAATTTCAAGGAAGAAAAGTCTTGCTATAATCATGGGAAATTTTACTTGTCTAATCACTATGGTACAAAATGAAAGGACCACATCTATCTTATAAGCAGGAGTTCTGCATGAGAAATGCATAATATAGGATCACTGGCTTTTCAAGAAGGGTGCCAAGCTAACCATTATTTCTAGTAGCATGGTTCTCTTTTTCCAATGTTAATGTTTAAAAAGTAAAAATTGCACATGGGCATAAACTTAGAATATTAAATATGCATATTCTTGGTTTAATCTGAGTAGGATTTTTAATAGTTATTCAACATGGTAGAAGAAAAAATAAAATATGAATGGAAGAAAGTGTGACAATCTTCAAATAGTTGGGGTGGGGAGAAAATACTTCTAAAATGGGGAAACTAGATGTGGTCAAGATCCACGTGGAATGTATATCCATTTCCATCGGGACCTATGAGGCACCAGGAATACCTGGCATCTAGAAGTACTCAGTGGATCCCCAGGAGTTTTCCTTGCTCCTAGCCAACATGGTTACTGATATAACCAGTCCCTTCCTGGCTTAGGCAACACCCAGACACCAAGAAACAAGTCCAGTAGAGTGAACAATTCTAGACCAAAGTCTGCTGCTTGCCATGTGGGCTATACTGATGCTTACACTGACACGGGTACTCCTAGAGTCCACTGGTCTCACTCTTTCTCTGGCAGCTTCTAGGGGCTGTTTCCCATAATTCTTCCTTTAGAACTAAGATCTCGTGAAAATGTTACCAGATTTACCAAATAAAGATAAAAGATCCATTTAACTTTACATTTTAGAAAACAAACAATGTTGGGTAAAAAAATTACAGTCCATCCAATATTTGGAATATACTAAAATTATTGTTTAATATCTGAAATTTCTATTTCCTTAGGTATCCTGTATCAAATCTGGCAATTCTGCACTCACATTTTAGTATCTCAACATGGACAGTATGGGAATAAACTGCATCTGGATTGTCAGAAACAAGGGTCATGATATCTTTACTGTAGTCACAGAGAGGCTGGGGACAGGGCTGGGCAGCAGGGAATGGTATAAATATTTGACTTTTGCCCACTGTGTTGTGTGTGTTTGGGTGTTATGTTTTCTCTTGCTTTCCCCATACCCAAAGAGTCCACATTCTAAATCCCCAAATTATAAAGAGGATAACTGCACTTTATGTTACCAGGAGGCTGTTTTTCTCTTTCCTATTTTAAAACTGTCACCGTTGGCTTACTTTCAGACAGAGTTATGAGAGTGAAATGTGAGCCAAGCAAACAAAATTGCTAGCCATGGTCTGAATACAAAATACTGCCATGAACTCCAGCATGTTATAAGTGTGTCTTTCTTTTTAGAATAGCACTAGATGACATCATTAGACAGAAACAAGGAAAGTATTTCTAGACATCCAAAAAAAAAATCAAAGAGGCTAATAGAAGTAATAGTTATGTAAAAATTGTATATACATATTATATATATATACACATTATATATACATATTTGTAGAGCATATACATATTATGCTCTACAAATTATACCCACACATTATACAGGAGTGGGACTTGTGAAGCTTATGAGCTGTCAGAGAGGCAGATAATGACGAAAAATAGCTCTAAACAACCACACAGAAAGTCCTTAGGCTTTGCTTTTTCTCTGTGAGCCACAAAGACACCCCTGCCGATTTCTTTGCTGCTTGCATCCCCATGTCTAGCTGGATGAGCATCGAGCTGAGCAAAAGAAACTAAAACTCCTACGGAAGCAGCAGGCACAGACCCAGAGAGAGAAGGACCAGCTGCAGAGTGAACACAACCGAGCCATCCTCGCTCGAAGCAAACTTGAGAGTCTGTGTCGGGAGCTGCAGAGGCACAACAAGACACTGAAGGTATGTGGCACCTTGGCTTGGGATGACTCGTTTCTTAGCTGGCTGCATAGACACAGGCCTCTGTTACCTGGAGAAAGCATGAGTTACAACCAGAGAGCTTGAAGTCAAATACTGGCTCTGTCACTTGCTTTGTGATCTTCAAGTTTTTACCTCTGTGAATGGTTCCTCCATCATCCGATTATGTGGTCAGAAGGGAAAAGCTAAATGAGATTCCATCTGCAAGGTGCTTACACATGACAACAGTGCAGGCCCAGGGAAAAAGAAATGTCGTCTCTCTTTCTTTTTTGCTAGGTTGAGTTTTATTGGTTGTTTAGATGGTCCTTTGTTTACTATTTAATTATTTTTATTTTTACTTTATGTGACTGGTGTTTTTTTCAGCATGTATGTCTGTGCTTCACATGTGTCCCTAGTGCCTGAGGAAGCCAGAAGAAGCCATAGGAACTATCGTTATAGACAGTTGAGCTCTGCTGTGTGGGTGCTGGAATTGAACCTAGGTCCTCTGGGAAAGTTGTCAACACTCAACCTCTGAACCATCTCTTCATCCCTTAGATTCATCTTTAAAAATTTGTAAAAATTCAGCATTTATTTTTATTTAATGAATTCTGCATGACAAGGCATAGCCACAAAGCTAATTGATATGACGAGGGCGTCAAAAATGCCAATAATTGTCTGAGAAAAGAAGCTACTTTAAAAAATGCTGGAGAGCTCTTTAAGTCTTAATTACTCAATTTAAAAATAATAGACTGATCGCTTCATTATGTCTGCATGGGTTTCATTAATTACAGCATGGGTCTCTAACAACATATTTAATTTGATTACCAGCTCCATTCAAAAGTAAGATGTAGGGCTCTTCCAAATAAGTCTGTTTGCATTTACAATCCCTTTTCCAGTGGTAGATCCCAAAGCTTCAGACACACAGTAATTAAGCAGGCAATATTCCTCCAAGGAAGTTATTACTATGTTTGTTTACAAGGAGATACCTTAGAAGAAGCAACCAGACATTAAAATCACTAACTACTTTGACAAGCAGGAGGAGATAGTGGTTCCTTGTTGCTCAATTATCCTGTCATGTTTGGGAAATCGGAAGCCAGTGTGACAAACTGTGAGTCTCACAAGTTCCAGAGGATGGGCTTTCTTCAGTATTGTATTGGGAACCACCACAAGTCCAGGGTAGGTGGGGACCTTGAGATGGGTGCATCATCTTCAACCCAAGGGGTAGCGTTCTGTGTTTACAAAAGACTCCAGGCTTTCTACGGTGTCACACAGTGAAGGAATGGTAATTAAACCAGATAGGGTGGGGGTGTGTCACTTTAAAGACTCCAAGGGAGAAGAGTGTGGCTTTGACTCTTTGGGACTTTGCATGTTACTTCATTTGATCTGCACAAATGACCTTCGGAGAGTTCATGTCTCTACTGACAAGGAACCCCGCTGATTTTAATTGGTCCTTTAAAGTAGTGAATATTTTAAGTGTCAAAATAATTCAAATCCAAAATACTAATCTACCTTTGATTATTTACCCATGAGCTGGGGAGTATTTAATTTGCATAGCCCATCATGTATATCCTCTCTTGATGAACAACTATTGTATGCTGTATTCAAGAAGCAACAACTAGCTTTGGAATTGTCACTATAATCCCAGTATTAATTACGGAGCAGTCTACTTCTTTCAAATACATCAATTTTTGTTTCTTGAAGCACTGATGTTAATTTTATTCATGTTTCACTTTCTGTCTTTTTGAATAACTGGTCATTTTATCATCATTAGCCTCCCCTGGTAATAATCTTTATCTTGATATTTACATTATTTGACATCCATACAGCACCTTAAGTTTCTTGCTTTTTTTGTTTGTTTGCACAGTATATATCTTTTTATCTGCTTATTTCCTACCTGGGTCTACAAAATATTACTTACAAATATACCCAAAGTGTCTGCCTTTAACTGGGATGCCAGTCCATTAACACACAAAACAATGACTGATACAACTATATTAAACAGCAGATACCATGTTTAGTTATTTACAACATACATTCCACCTCTCTTTTCTGTTCTTCTATTCTTTTCCTGCCTTCCAATGTGAAGATTCCTTTTATTTTTATTTTTCATTTATCTCCTCTTTGCATTATTTACATTGGTCGATCTATAGTTACAATCAACATTTTAAACTGTTCCTAGTCTACCTAGAGTTAATATTATACCACATCACATATGTAGAAACATTAAAGCTAAGTCCAATTATTTTTCTTTAAGCTAGAATCTTCTAAGCATACAACTGTATGACTTTATAAAGCCCATTAGACGACAATATCATGTGTTTTTGTCTTTATTATCATCCGTATCCCTTGAAAAATGAAAGAGAAAACTGCCTTTTATCTTTCCCCAGATACTGAACTTTCCTGTTGCCTTTTTTATTTGGTGTAAAACTTCAGTGTCCTGTCTGGCTCCACTTTCTCTCAGCCTAAAGAGCTCCCCATTAGAGTTTGTTGGATCCCAGCTTGGCTGGCAGTCAATTCTCCTAGTTGTCCTTTATCTTAATGTTATCTTTTATTGATTCATTTGCTCTTCCTGCTGGTGAGAGCTGTAATTATTGGATGCTGAAGTTGTCCACTGATGGGATATGTTCATGGGTCTCCCACGTTACCCTGATCCCCATAATCCTGATGATGACGGCAGCAGTAACTTCAGCTGTTATTCCTCCTCACATGACATCATCTTTCTAAGACTACTTTCAAAGCCTGTCTAGTGTTTTTTACTTTCAGAATCTCTGTATCTTCTAATGGTTTTATTTTTTTAAAAAATGGTGTGTTAAGTGTACCATATGTGTGGTACGTATGGAGGCCAGAAGAAGATGAAGAATCCCCTGAATCTGGACTCACAGATGGTTGTGAATTGCCCTGTGGGTATTGGGAACCAAACCCAAGAACTCTGCAAGAGCAGTCAGTGCTCTTAACACTGAGCCAGCTCTCCAGTCCCTGAAGGTTTTCTTTACATTCCACTTGGTATTTGCTGAGATTTATGTATCTGTTTTTCACCAAACTTGGAATTTTTAAGTGTTATTTCTTCAGATATATTTGTTACTTCATGTTCGCCTCTTCTCCCTAATTGCATGTATATTAACCTAATGACAGTGTCCCACAGTTCCCTTCATGACTTCCTGAATCTTCTGATCAGCTTACTTCATAGTCCTTTGTTTTTTATCTCTGAACCCACAAAGTGATCTTTAAATTTCTAATTACAGAGTTTTAAATTCCAGGACTCTCACTTGTTTAGCAGATTGTTTTTCTTGTCTGGGATATCCTGCTTTTAATTCATTGGCTAGTTTTCTTTACATCATGGAACAGAATTATAACACCTGTTTTATAATTCTTTCCTACTATTTTCACATTTGGACCGTTGTAGAGCAAATTGTTCGGTTACTGTTTTTGCTTTGATAGTGTGCCTTTTTTTGTAGGGTTTTCATATGTCAGGTCATTGCCAACAATATCCTAGATGATATGACAATGTAGAGACTCTAGAGTCTATCATTATGTTATTTGACTTTCCAAATGCTATAATAAGTACCTTACAAAAATCAACTTAAAGGAGGACAAGGTTAATTTGACTCATGGTTTCAGAGATTTCAGTTCATGGTCACTTGATGCTTGTTTCTGGGTCATGACGAAGAAGGACATCACTGTCAGGAACATATGGTAGAGAGGAAGCAGCAATACACAGAAAAGGGCTCCAGGGACAAGACAGAGTCTTCAAGGCACGCACCAGGAATCCACATACTCCAACTAAGGCCCACTTCTGAACAACTGATTCAGCCACAAAGGCATCAATGACAAAATTAGCACCATCATGCTATAATCATCTCTCAAAACCAAATCATCTGAGAACAGACTTTTAGCACATGAGCTTTTGGAGTGTATTCACTACATATCTAAACCCTAACTGTACTCTTCTGAAAAATATTGACAATTTTTTAATTCAGTTACTATAGTTACCTTCAAATACAAACTTTTGTCTCTTGGACAGCCGTCCAAATGCCTGTTCAATTTTCTTCCTTAGATAGACTGCTTTGAATCCTTCCTGCAGAAGTGTGATTGGTATTGCTCAGAGACTGGTGACTTTTCTCCACAGAATTCGGGTTTTTCTACCTCACTGACTCTTTTCTTGAAACTTCCCTCTCATCTTTCTGTGGTTATACAGTTTCCCAGAATTTCACACTCTTGTTCTTATCTGAGAGATGGTAGATGTTCGGGGGAAGTTTAACACATCTCTTTCGGTTTCCAAGTCTTCCTACAAGCTAAAATCTGTTTAAAAGGGGAAAGGGTGAGAAACTTCCATTACATTACACCAAGTGCCAATTGGCCTCCAGAGTCCACAGATGTTACCTGTAGAAGACTAAACTTGCCCCAGCCTTCTTTGTCCATGCTAATAGGGCAGCCTCAGAACTGGGCTCTAAAACCCACACTTTAGGAGCTGAGGAAAGCATGGAAAACGAATGCACAGTTGGGTCTCTCCAGCACTGTCCGTTTTAACTCTTATACTCTTTATAGTTTTTTTCTTCAGTGAGTGAAACACAAATGCAAACCTTAACAGCTTAGTATAATTTAGAAAGGGCCAGTGAAAGCCAGAGCCAGCCACTTGTTTCAACAGTTCCTGTAATTACATAAAGTAGTAAGTTTAAGCCTGAAACTATATTAAAAAACAACTTTCTAGTACAATGTGGGTAGGTGGCTTAGGGAACATGATTTGAGTAAAGAAAGAAGTAGTATTTGTTAACAGACTATCAAGGAATTTTTACACAGAAAGGACCATAGAAATCATACCATTCAAGCTCCTCAAGTGTCTGTACACAAGTTAATAATGTATTAATCATTAAATAAACATTTACTGAATACCTATGGATTATGTGCCAGGCACGGCATCAGTTTTAAGATATATGATGCTGCTTGCAAAGTTGTTTTCAGCTTTTGTCTCTCAGTCTTGTTTGTCTTAATAATTTTCAGTATCTATATACACACTTGATTAATTTAAAAATTTAATGTTCAAATGATGGCAAATTATTTATCAATGAACTCAATTTAATAACATTTAGCAACACCTTTTTTTGTCTAGTTGAAAAAACAGCATAGCTAGGAATGTAGTTATTTGAGAGGATGAGGCAGGAGGATCACAAGCTCACAAGACCTTGTACTTGTCCTCCTGTTAAAATTTGGGGAAGCAATACAGTACAAAATTCAAGCTGCCATTACATAAGGCAGAACTTACTAGCTTGACAAATGTGTAATAACTTGCTAAGGCTCTTTGCCACTGTTCCCCTGGGACAGACAGGGCTTTTCCTGTCTCCCTCTTCTCTTCTGTCCTCTCTCTCTGTCTCTGTGTCTCTTCACCTCTTTTCTCTTTCCTTCCCCCAGCCCCTGCCCTCTCTTTTCTAATAAAACTTCTCACTAAATAAATAAACAAATAAATAAAATAAATGAATAAAAATAACTTGCTAAGATCTGGAAAATCTCAAACTTTCTCAGGAACATAACAGTTTCTTAAACTCACACAAGAAATCTTTATAAATAAAAATGAAATTAAGATGGTCTAAAGTCCTGTAAGCCATAATTTTGGGACTTGTAAGTATATCAGGAGCAATGAGGTGACAATCACTCTGACAGGTATGTTGTTACTCTTTAGCTGATAGGTGCAATAATTCTTAGTGATATATATAGTAAGAATTGATACACAGAGATGAATATCTCCATCTTTAGATTAGAAAATATCTTTTACAATATCTTTCAGAAGATACACTATGATGAAATTACAATTCTGGTGGCCAACAAGTTAGGCACTATGTTAATATTCTGTAGGAAATATGGAAATGAGTGATAAATTACTTCTAGAGTATATATTTTCCAGATCAATTTGTGTTTTGATCACATTGTTCTGTCCTAATAAAGACTTGTGCAATTACTTCTGCTAAAATAATTCTCTCTTTTTAAATCCTGTCACATAATCTGAAGTTTGTAGGCAACTAAATGCAGTGTAGTTTTAGTTGCCAAGCATGAAACAAGCTTTTCTATTAACAATTAACCAGTACTGGAAGGAATCTGAAAACGTGTGTATCATCTGTCAGCAGTGAAAACATGTCTATCTTTGGGATAATATAGCAAGAACAAACCCTTTATTCTAAAAGAATGAAAGGAACAATTAATTACAACACAGATAATTCTTGGTATAGAGACAGGAATCTGGGCACATTATTAATGGTTAGCAATGAATGTAGAGTTTTGATGTAAGAGAAAAGAGAACAGAAATAATATAAAAGCAAACTTTCAGTTCCTTGACAGTAACAAGTGGTAAAGGGGGTGGTAAAATGTGTCTTTGTTATCATTCTAGAGCTAAAGAGATATCAAACTTATTGCTTTCTAATTCAAAATTTACACTGCAAGCATTTTAGTTATCCCAGGTGACACATAAAATGATTGTTTGTCCAGAAATAAAATAGCCAGTATATTTAGAAAGATTCTCTTTTATATCTTTGAATGCAGCATTAAGCTTCCTGATATTTTTTTCTTATTCAGAGCACTTGCTGCTCTTACAGAGAGCCCAAGTTCAAGTTCAGTTCCCAGCATCCATGTGAGGCATCTCACAATCACCTATAACTCCAATTTCAGAGGATCTGACACCTTCTTCTGGCCTCTCTGGGATCCACACATGTGACTATACTCACACATAAATAGGAATAAAACCTAAAAGAAAGAAAAAATTGATATTATGATCACTTATTCTTATAAAAATCTGGGTGATACAATTATGTGGTTTATATTCCATGGTTTTACAGAGTAATATTATATCTATTGCTTTCCTCCCCCTCCCCCCCACACACATACCAGACAAACAACTCATGATCTGTGACCCATCACTCGGTAAATCCCAGTGACCTTTTCCTCCAGGCCACAACTAAGAGATCAAAGTCGTGTGACTATGTGACTGTCAGAAGTCACTGCTGACCATTCCCTCACCCAGAGACTGCCATCTTTAAAGGAAGCCTGTTCATCACTGAACATTGTGGCTGCCTATGACTGCACTCACAGTGGAAGCCCTGATTGGACATTTATTTGGAGCTTGGGCAACTTTAGCTATAGAGACTGAAAAGAAACACCCCACTTACTCTGCACACTGCACCTTTCAGTGATCTGACCTTGAGGTCTCTAAACCCTGGGCACTTCTAAACCAGTACCAAAGGTTCTGCTATTCATCCACAGGAGGAAACCCTCCAACGGGCACGTGAGGAAGAAGAGAAGAGGAAAGAGATCACGAGTCATTTTCAGACCACCCTGACAGATATCCAGACTCAGATAGAGCAACAGAGCGAGCGAAATATGAAGCTCTGCCAGGAGAACACAGAGCTTGCAGAAAAACTGAAAAGCATCATCGATCAGTATGAGCTCAGAGAGGAGGTGAGAACCACATCAAACAGCTCGCAGAATTGTACACAGGCCTAGATCCGGGTTCTGAAAGTGAGGAGCTTGTTTAAGAAACAATTCATGGCCAGTCCTCTCAACCAATTAATAGTTAAGATTGGGGTTCTTTTACTAGCCAAAATAAAAACAGACAGTCCTACAAAACACCTGGCTGAATTCATGCCAAACTAAAAGCAGTAAACCTATGGGCACACTTACCTGGCATAATACTTCGGTCCTTTGAAAATCCTTTCCATGTAGACAAGAGATAATTCCACTTTCTTCATTAGAATCACCATGTCAACTCAGTTAACAAGCTGAGACTAGCATGGATAATGTAATGATTATAATTATCATTTATTTAGTGCTTAATTTGTGTCAAGCAACGTATTACTTTGCACACAATATGTCATTTGTCTCAACTTTACTCTCAAACAGAAAACACTATCTATATGTTACTTTATATGTTGTTGTGACCAAATATCTAACAAGAAGCAATATAAGGAAGGAATGGTAAATTCTAGCTAACAGTTTTGGAGGATTATTCCATCATGGCATGGAAAGCACGGGAGTAGGAGGGGAAAGACAGTGACAAGAGCAGGCAGCCCGTTGGTTCCACCAGGTCTACAGACAGGAAACAGAACAATGGATTCCCATGCTTACTTATTTGTCTTCATTCAGTCCGGGGCTCCAGGCCATGAAATGGTACCATCCACAATTAAGGGGGTCTTCCCATCTCAATAAACCTAGCCAAGCTAGCCCTGAAGTCAACCAAATGTAGACAGTCCCTCACAGGCATGCCCAGAAGGTACCCTAATGTAGACAGTCCCTCATAGGCATGCCCAGAAGGTACCCTAATGTAGACAGTCCCTCACAGGCAGGGTCAGAAATCAACCAAATGTAGACAGTCCCTCACAGACATGCCCAGAAGGTAACCTAATGTAGACAGTCCCTCACAGGCAAGCCTAATGTTTTCCAGAGGTCAAGGTATGGAGGACAGAGAATGACTGCTTACCAGTTCATTATGAGCCCCAGTCATGTTATATCTATGTTAGTCAGCTTCCCTTCACTATAAGGAATACTTGAGACACTTGGGTCATCAAGAAAAGGGTTCGCTGTGGCTCACAGATTTGAAGGTTTCAGTCCAGACAAGTGACCCCATCAATGAGGGGCCTATGGCAAAGCAGCACATCACCATGGTGAGAGGTGTGGAGGAGCCAAGTTACTTACTCCATGGCAACTGGGAAGGGAGGGCACTAGCTATCAAAGACTAGAGGGTCTCCTAGCAAGCCTCACCTCTTGAATTTTCTACCACATCCCAGTACCGTCAGGCTGGATACTAAGAGTTTAATAGTTGGACATTCAGATCCAAACTACATTATCATTGAACAAAGTAAGCAAAGAATTCAGGGGTCTGGGCCTCAATCTCAAACATCTAGGGATTACATACTGGAACACCAAAGCTTTCTTACAACCCTTGAGACAAATACACAGAGAATTCAGCATGATAAATTATATTCACTGAAATAAGGTAATGAAAGGGGCCATAATACCAAGCCAGAATACAGTGGAGCATTATCTGGGAGGTCTAGCATAATGAGAAGCATCATATCAACTGGCTACCAAATTGAGAAAAATCATGCTGGCATTAATACCGGTGACCTCTGGCACCTCCACCTTTTGAAGCTGCCTCTGAACAGTGCAAAGTGGGGTGCTCTCACCAACTTAGGGCTTTAATATAACGCCTTCGGTGAGCCAGAGTGTTTATTCCTAGGAAATTTGCATTCGTGTGAGTTATTTTCCAGTTTTGCATTTCTTGATCCCAAGCCTGGCTTGTATGTGTTCTTTTCCCTTAGCATCTGGACAAAATATTTAAACACAGAGAACTACAGCAGAAGCTGGTGGATGCGAAACTCGAACAGGCTCAAGAGATGATGCAGGAAGCAGAGGAGCGGCACAAACGGGAAAAGGAATATGTATCTATCCTTTTAGTCGGTGTGCATATGCAGTTCATCTCTTTCGGGGGGGCTCTCTAGGAAAGCCGTCCAAGGATCGCAGAAGATCACTCCACTCACATAAAGGCCCGTGCATCTACGGGGAAGTCAATGGGCTAGCCCAGTAGGAGGCACTGGGCCTATACCATTATTCACACTGAATAGTCATTCAGCGTACTCAACAAGTGTTTCTCAAGTGCCTATTATCTGCTGAGAGCAGCTGAGGTGCCAGATTATAGTTATGAATAAGACAGAGAAGGGCCATCGCCTACCAGGCAGATTAGGGGCTGAGTGGGCAGAGACGAGCTGTAGCAAGCGAAGCGGGAAGGGTATTTAGACAATAGTAAGTTATTAGGCAAACAAGGAATAACTGAGATGGGGCTGGGGGGCGGGGCGCTTACTTAGACTGAGTTATCAGGACAGGTGGGGAGGATGTATGAGCCACGCCCTGCCTCCTGAGGAACTGCCTCATGGGAGTCTTCTTCAGCAGTGGTGTCTTGTCAGTGACAAGACTTGATGTTAGACCCACCATGGCATGTTCCACACTCAGGGGGAAAGTCCAAGAAAATGGAACAAGTAGAAAAATGTTCAAGATCTGGGGGTGATTGAGGTCCAACCGTGCAGCTTTGTAGGACTTGGAGAGGTGGCTGGATTTCATTCCAAATATAACGGGAAATGACTGAGTAGTTCTAGAAGAGGAGGTGACATGGCTGGCTTCCCACATGTACAGGTGACTGCGGCTCCCGAATGGAGAGTGGACTAGAAAGGAAAGGAGGCGGGGTTCCCAGCGCAGTCCACACAAGGGGTGACGAGGGCTTGGGTAAGAAGGAAGCAGCTAAAAGAAGAAAGATCCAGGGAACGTTACTTTGAAGTACAAGCAGCAATCAGTCCAAAGAGGGTGACAATGTGGAGAGCGGTGAGCTATCAGTGACCTCTGCATTTAGGACTGAAGACACTGAATGGTAGTACTTATTGCTCTTACCTCCAAGTAACCACCCAAAGCTGCACAGATGACAAAATTGAGGCTTAAAGGGGACGCGCAGCTTAAGGTTTCACACTGCTAAGAGAAGCTTCAAACACACGTGTCTGCCCCCATCCTTAAGCACTCTGTGACACTGCATCGCATTCAGACGTGTGTTTCCCATGTGTGAAACATGTACCAGTTACTGGAGGAAGAGAGAGACAGGGAGAGAGGTGTGTGTGTGTGTGTGTGTGTGTGTGTGTGTGTGTGTGTGTGTATACTGAAACGTCTGTAAGACAGTTAGTTGTTAGGTCAGTTACTCAAATGACACCACTTAACACTTGACCAGAAGAAGCTTTTTGTTTGGCTGAACCCAGGCTAGAATCACTTAATCTGTTAGCATAGCAATTACAAAATAACCAGTTCTCAAGTATGACAGAAGCAAGTCAATTTGGACAACAAATCCTCACTGGTAATTCTCAAAGCCTGCCCAGCCCCACCCACCCCTACCCACACCCCACCCCACCCACAGTTCTCAGCTCACAGCAGTGACATCTCACTTCCGGTGAGATATCAAGTCCAAACTGGAGTTTTTTCCATGCAAACAGAATAATCAGAGATATCCAACAGGCCGGCACTGATGGCTCCAAAGACTCCTAAAGCACACCTCCACCACACCCTCAGAAGCCACAGTGTACCTGGCTTCTCTCAGGACCAATAACGTATACTTTACTACCATCTCTAGGCTACTGTATAATTATCTGGAAATCAACAACTAGAATTTTCATGGCCCACTGTAGACTTAACTTTTATTTAGAAAAAGCAAAACAAAAACCCCTTCTGAGCTCTGACCAGAAGATCCAAACCTAAACCAAAGACTAGAGCTGTATATCAAAACAGATTAACAGATAAATGTACATCTTAAGTTAAAATAACATGTTTACCCATTCACTCCCTGTTTGACCATGTCTAACCACGGTGGCTATATATGAAAGGCTTCCGTGTAAGAGAGAGAGATGAGGACTCTTAGTATCAGAGGCAGAGTTCAAAGCAACCACTCAAACTTCTGTTTCTCAAATGTGCTGCATGGGTCACTGATAGCCAAATCATCTTTGATATTGGAAAAGCACAGATTCTGACCATGCCCTATACACCCTAGATTACATTCTCCAAAGGGGGATCTATTCTTCAGTGATCCCTTGAGGAGAGTCACACACATGTTTGAAGGGCTGTGTCAAAAACCAGGGATCAAATGTGTATTTCTAAAGGCATCATGTGTGCAGTGTTGGAGAATAACCATGTGTTAATATAATGGACCTGTTACAGGCAGCCAGGTCCGGGTGGGAAAGTATGGAGACGGCCAAGCTAAGGTTGATGATGGTGGTGGGAGAGGGTCGCTTCAGAAGCTCCTGAAATTGCTAGGGAAGCTTTTCATCAATGGGTCTAGTGGGAAGTTACATTTTGTGTCATAGATATTTGATTTGGATCCCTAATTTTTTTTTTTGTTAAAGCCACTAGTTTCCTTGGGAAATCAAACATATTAAACTAATTGTTTTCTTACTTTAACCTTGCTAGCTTATATTTTGCAAAAGTCTCTCCTGTCAAAAGAAAAATGGTTAAGGGAAAGGGGGTAAGAAGAAAATTAGTTTTATACATATATGGTAAAATGGCAATTTGAAAACAACTGGACTTTCTTCCCATGCATTCTCTTTTCTCATAGTTGCTGAACCAGGCAGCAGAGTGGAAACTCCAGGCCAAAGTGCTGAAGGAACAAGAGACAGTGTTGCAGGCTCAGGTGAAGTGAGGAGACCAACACATGGGGGGGGCAGCCTCCTTCTGGTACCAAGGGTCTGGGACCCAAGATTCTCTGCACAGTTTTACAGGTAGCAGGGAATGGGGAGGAATGAGACTTGAACAACTTCACATTTCCTATATTTAAGAAAGTAGAGTATTATGTCTAGGAAAAAGAAACAAGGTGTACCAACATCAGGTAGCCAAGAGGTCTGTGACAAATGACAAACGATGCTATTCAAGTGGCCAGCCACAGCAAACTAATGTCCAGCTTCTCACCTGTCTATCATATCTCCTTTCTCTCACCTGACCCATTGCCCAATTAAGGTAAAAAGAAATGTAAAACTGTTCAGAAGCATCATTTATAACCGTTAATCCTAAACGGTCTTCACATTTTCATACTAACACAAGAAAGTGAGAAAAATGGAAGCCAAGCTCCCATGCTATCAAAGACTGGCCTTGTCAACAGTGAGTGACTAGGAGTGGTGGGAAAATCAGGAATCCTTCTGATTTGGCTTCAGCTGTATTGGCATTACTATTATTTTTGTCAGATTACTGGAGTTCCCATTTCAGGCTCAAAAACATAGACTCCTAGCACAGCGGCTCTGTGCAAAAGCCATGCCTATCCATCTCCCTTAATGCCATGGGGCTCTGGCCTGCCTGGGAAACATTCCCTGTCACAGGCCAGAGTCCCTCTCCTATGCCTGACATTTTTTTTAATGTGGGTGCTGGGCATCCAAGGTCAGATCCTCATGCTGGCACAGCAAACACTTTACTGACAGAACGTCTCAATAGAACCAAGGATCTGGGAGTTTAATGGTGTGAGAAATCAAAATATAAACATGTGATACAATTTCTCAACTCTGCCCATCAAACTGGAGTATTTGCCAGGCATTCCTGAATGAGTCCAGGCATTAAGACTGACTCTTTACACAGAGACATGTGTGACCCTATCCAGCGTACATAACCACATTCCACTCACATACTTTCCTTGTTTCTAATTATCCTTAAAAGAGTAGGAACAGCAGGAAGTCATAGCCTTGACGATCATTTTTAAAACCTGAGCAAGAAAAATACCAAGGGCACTTTACTCGTTCTCGTGGTTTGAAGTCACTGTCAATCATAAGACAACACTGTTGAGTTGGGAACGTGTTTCTCACTTAGGAAAGCGGTATCTGACTTTCAGTTATATAAACCGAGGCAACAGAGCAGCCATCCCAGATGTTCAGTTAGATACAACTGTCATGACTAATGTCGTGTCATCAGATCAGCAAGGATGAAGACAGTAGCAAACATGGGATGTCGGGCAGTATCTGACAGCACGGACACGAAATATCCTCTCCTTACCTTAAGATGAGGGAGAGCCTCTGCATCAACTCTGGGACAGGACTTGTTTCCATGTCCAGTCTCCCAGTCTTATTAAGACAATTTCTAGGCACGGTCCTTTCATTTCCTACTCTAACCAGAACTTGGTGTTTAGTTAAAGGAACACATGAGGACCGGCTTGTTATAGCTCAGTGGGTACAGGCACTTACTGCCAAGCTTGGTGATTCCCCAAATTCCATATGGCAGAAAGAACTCCCAACCCTGGAAAGTAATACTCGGTCCTCCACTAGCCCATGTTGCATACATGAACCTCCAAACACAAATAACTGAACATAAAAGCAAAATAAGTGAGCCCTTTGGTGCATTTTAAGGTGATATATTGTAGCACTTTCTGTTACTTTTAATCCTGGAGGAGTAAGCTTCTACTTCTGTCCCTGGCATGTCCCTGGTGTGACTTCCGGACTGCCTTTCCACAGTTCTCTGAATCCCAAAGTGAAAGTGGAAATAGCTCCCATCAAGTGATGCATTAACAACATACTAATAGAAGGTCAACTCTATGGTATAAACATCCACTAAGGAAATGTGAAGTACAAAATTCTAGTTAGAATAAGATAATGCTCCTAAATAAAAGAAATTCTGAATTTACAGAAAGGCTGATGACTTTCCAAAGAAGCTGAAATTCCTACAACTATACCAATAGAAGTTTGGTCTTTTATATTCACAGAAACACATTTTTAAATTAATAACTAATTTGAGCCAAATGTTTATTATTTTAAAGGAAATAAGTATGTGTATAGGGATGAAACATTACAAGTAACTATTTTACTGCAGATTTTTTTTCATGTAAGTGAAAGAAACCTATGGGATCATAAATCTGTGAAATCATCTTTGTGAGAAGCCATTTACATAGTATTAGAAGTAGGGTTAATATGTACCCTGAGAATAAATGCAGCATAAACATAAAACAGAATAAGATAATGATGGTGCTGGTTACCTGAACCATTGATAAACTACACAAATTGTTCCATCTATGACAAATCAGTCCAGTAGGAAGAAAAGAATATGAAAACCTGACTACTTGAAGGAGTATATGAGAAGTTGTTTAATGTCTGTGGAGTTCATTAATGTGTGATTTGTTCCCATGCTGCAACATGAAAACATTCTGGAGATTGGCTATACAACAATGCCCGCATAACAATATTGATCTGTATACTTCAAATGGTTAGGGTGGTTAGTTTGGTGTGTATTATAATACAATTTAATTTTTAAACAAAGCAAAACAAAAAATGGCCAATTGGAATAATCTAGTAAAAAAATAAAGGAGATGATGAAAAATATCCAGTTCTTGGCAAAAATGTGACAACCTGAGTTTGCCCCAGAGCACCCTCCCACAGGTGCCAGGAGAAAAACACCTCCTGAATTTTCTTCTGCCCCCCACATGCATGCCATGACACATGTAAACACACCCCACATGCTAAATACATATATTTTAAAATATTTGTTTTACTATTTTATACTATTGTCACTAAGTGTGTCGGTTTGAACACAATAATAAACTCAGAGTCAATAATAATGCTGCATTAGTGTCCCATGAAGGAAAGAAATCAAAGCACTGACCCTTGCTGTTGTAACCAAGAGTGAGTCCAGATAGGATGTTTTAGCTGTAACCGTGTGTTTAACCTCTGAACTAGCATATCAGTTCAATGAATCCAGATTTGAATTCTCTATTTCACCCCCCCCATTTCTTCTGTCATCCTGATGTACCTGTTGTAAGAGCCAGAATCTGTTTTCTGCCTGAAAACTGTCTTGTGAATTTGTCCCAGTTCTGTCTGTCCCTAATGAAGGGCTTTGCTGTGTAATTATTGATCAGCACAGAAAGTATCACATGGGGAAGGAATGGGAAGGAACTTTACAGAATCATTAACAGAGTCTTACAAGGGATTGAGTCACTGACTCCAGCTGACCCCAATGGCTCCAGTTGGCCCATATATCAAACAAATACTGCCAAGCAATAGCCAAAGGCCCCTTTCAATATTTATGAGAGATATGCACGTGTAAGATTGATGTTGATCTCTATTTGCTGTTTTCAGCAAATGATTATCACAGTACATGTACAAACCCATTATGTGTTACTCTTGGGTCAGGAGCATGGAAAAGTACATAATTTAAGATTATAGCTATTTATTAGCTTAGGTTGATTACATGGGAATACAAGGCAAATGAAATTCTGACCTGGCAATTTGTATTGAACATCTCATAGTCAAGCTATCATAGAGTTTGTCTTCCCATTATGAATGCAAGTACCTCAAAAGCAAGACCCATGTGTTAAATAAATATCTATATATGTGGTACATATGTATGTTCATGATCAATAAATGCTTACAAAAATTAAGATGTAATAAATCTGTAATGACATATCTTATCATTTTATTTTTCTTTAAACAACATTTTAGGCAACACTGAAGAGAATTCAATAGATTCTTCAGAAGATAGAGCACAAGAAATTGGAAGGGAAAGGTTGATGAGGGGATAAGGGAGAAACTAGAGGGAGAGAATGGTGGTGGGTCTGGAAAGGTGGCTGAGTGGGTAGAGAGCATGCTGTAACAGAATAAGGAACCAAGTTCGAATCTCAAGCACTCATCTAAAAGTCAGGTGTGGTGACACATGCCTACAAACGCAGCACTGATGGGTAGAAGAGACAGAAAGATTCCTGGGCCTTCCTTGCCAACCAGTGCAGCTGAAATGCAAACGCTGGACTCACCGAGAGCCCCTCTTTCAAATGGTACAGTGTAGAGCTATAGGAGATACCTACAGACAGACAGACAGACAGACAGACACACACGCTAGACTCACCGAGAGCCCCTCTTTCAAATGGTACGGTGTAGAGTTATAGGAGATACCTACAGACAGACAGACAGACAGACAGACAGACAGACAGACAGACACACACACACACACGCTAGACTCACCGAGAGCCCCTCTTTCAAATGGTACGGTGTAGAGCTATAGGAGATACCTACAGACAGACAGACAGACACACACACACACACACACACTTTTTAAATGAAAAATTTCAATCATGTTCACCAAGCTAGATGGATCTTGTAGTAAACAGAATAACTAGACATATGACTAACCCTGTATTGAGAATACTTTGAAATAATTTTTCTTCTCAGATAATGAACAATGACATTTTTTCTGGAAGCAGCGCTAAAACAGATGTGCTCTTCCCTCTGCTTACAGCTCACCCTCTACTCAGGAAGGTTTGAAGAGTTCCAGAGCACACTGTCGAAAAGCAATGAAGTGTTTGCCACTTTCAAGCAGGAAATGGATAAAGTGAGTATTGTGTATCCATGAAGACTGACATCATTTTTTGTTTTGATAGGCAGTTCTTTGCATTCATTTTTCTCTGGCTAAGATACTTTAATGCATTTCACAATGTAATGACATTTTTATAGGCAGGAATGAGACTTTCACTGGGTGGGTTTTTTTTAATCTTTGAAAATTTTTCCAGTAAATTAATTAACAGTCTTAAAATTCTAGAACTCATTTTTACTAACATGAACAATATTTTTCATCTTGATAGCTAGCTTTAAAGAGGACAGGAGCTAGCATTAAGTTAAGTCTCACCTAACAATTAAAGACAAACTTTTAAATATCTAAAAATACAACACTAGAGTTGATAGACTCCTTCCCATAATTGTAATATAACTGATGGACAAGAATATGAGTAAGAGGATGGAAGAATAAGTTCAAATACTGAGTTTGTAATTGTCTGCCAAGTACTGTTGGGCTATTTACTTACCTCTCTTAACTTTCTTTTTTTATTATTTTTATTTTTTTGGTTTTACGAGACAGGGTTTCTCTGTATTGTTTTTTGGAGGCTGCCAGACCAGCCCGGCCTTGAACTCACAGAGATCCACCTGCCTCTCTCTCTTAACTTTCATTTTTTTAATCTATAAACTGAGATATTATTTTCTTTGCACAAGTCAGAAAGCCCTGATGTTCAAGTAAATTAATCTATTAAAAGGTTTTTGGGAGTCTTTTACAAATATAAGGTACAAATATTACTGACGGAAGTAACATTGGCATTATATTCAGAACAGAATCTTCCCAACAGAAAGTCAGCATCAGCATTCTGTCTCTAAGGGCAGAGAGTGGAAGCACTTGCTGTTCAAGGCTGATGGCCTGAGTCTCTAGATCCCTGGAATCATGCTCAAAGCTGGGTGAGGTGGGGGCACACCTGTCATCCTCTAGCAACAAGGGAGGCAGAAGCAGGAAAATCCTCTGGAAGCTCATGGGTCAGCTGGCCTAGCATAGGGAGCATAGCAACAGACCAAGAGAGTTCCTGCCTCAAAACAAGGCGGATAAAGACAACTGATCCCTAAAAGTTGTCCTTCTGACTTCCACAAGTACAGCATAGTTTGGCATGCACACACACACACATACACACACACACACACACACACACACACACTGGGTTCCTGAATAGCCACAGGCATTAATTATAATTGCAAGAAGCATCTTTCAAAAATCTATTTTATTGTAATAATGTAACATTTACACTAATATTTGCTAAGTTAGTTTTCTTGGTTCTGAATAGATCAATCCATTAGTTGTTTTTTTAATTCTAGATTAATTATAAATATAAGATTATAGGATTAGAATTTTTCTCAGAATTGCATATTTTCAGACTGGGATATTAAATCAAGTGTTCTTAATCTGAAATCTGTTTATAACTATTAGTTAACCCAATAAATTCCAGATTAAAAAACAACAAAAGACCTGGCATGCGTGTTTGTATAACTCTCAATATGGCCCTATATCTTTCATCAAATTATTAAAGTTAACCTCTTAAACTTTAACAAGTGCCTAATGTGGCTAACATATGATCAAAACTAAAAAATAAATGCAAGACTCATCTAGCTTCTCTTAGAGCAAGAACTGATAGTTTGGGCTCAGTCTCTGACCTTAGTCCGTGGTGCCTCAAGACAACTTTGCTCAAGAAGCAAGCATGGAGGCTCACACTTTTAATCCTAGCACTTACTAGGAGGCAGCAGCAGGCAGACCTCTGTGAATTCCAGGCTAGTCTTGTTTTTCTACCAAGTTTAGGCCATCCAAGGCTACAGAACGAACCTGGTCTCAAAATAACTGAAATAAAATAAAAAAGAAGCAAGCACCTAGGTGTGACTCGTGAAAGGGAATAAATAATACCTGAACACAAGCCTTACCCTTCAATTTATAGAAGCAGAGAGGAGAGCCTACAATAATATCCATCAATCTTATACTCAAAAACGATCTGATCACTTCTATGTCACCCACATTCATACACAATGACTAAACGTTACTTCATCTGTTGCAGAAAATGAGGTGTCTACAGCCTGGCTCTTTTGTCAACTTGCCTAGATATTACCACATGTCCCTGAGCCTCAGTTTCCCCATTTATAAACTAGGGATGGGAGTGGGGCCTTTCTCGTTGGACTGTTTCAAAGATGAAATGAATGTGTAATAACCACATTCTGTGAACTCACCTTCACCCTTTAAGCATAAATAAAGAGGTTGAAAGCAGTTTTTGTGTATACACGAATTATTATCTACAGTTAAATGCCTAAAAGCAATGCCGGCTTTCTCACTGTGATAGCCTTCTATTCAATAAAGTAACTGATCTAAATGCAAGCTTATTCATGGGTCTCAACTAAGGAAATTTTTTATTTCAAATGAAAGAAAAGTCAACAACAACGATGTGTTCCTAAGTAGTTTCCTTCCTCCTGAATTGGCTCTGGTGCAAATAAGTTTATTCATCACTGTTCTAGAGGACTCAGAAATAAATCACTCCTCTTCTGCAATCTTCATTGTTGACATTGAATATTTGTTTGCTTCACCAGCTGGTAGCAAAAGAACTGCCCTTGGTGTCACATGTGGAACTAATTGCTTCCTCAGGCTTAACACTAAAACACTCTAATTTCTGTTAGACAACCAAGAAAATGAAGAAGCTGGAGAAGGATACAGCCACATGGAAAGCCCGATTTGAGAACTGCAACAAAGCTCTACTGGACATGATTGAAGAGGTGAGGAAATTCATTTCTTAGCTTTTATCTCCATTTCCCCAATCCTGTCAAAATAATCAATATAACCTACTAGTGGAAAATGATTGTGCTTGAAAATAGGCTGAATTTCAAGGGAGATGTGACACACTAAAATATAGTGGAAATAAGATCAAAGTTTATTTAGAAACCTAAGGAAGTGTCAAAGACCTTTAGGGACTTTAGTCACAAGATTATCGAGTAGAAAGCTGTGGTACCATGCCTGCTGGACTGTAAAGGTTTTGATAAAGGTTTTACTTGACCTACAATTTCTACTGTTTAGCACCCAGCAAATACAATGGGTACATTGGTTTGATCATACTGAGAGAAGACACCAGCCCAGGTAGCCCATGTATAGATTATTTTATAGACAGTTATGAGGAAATCTTTTTTGAAAACTCCTTCACTGGGTATTAGATTGCTGATGCTATATCAGGATATTCAGGGCTTTCAACTCCAAAGGCAAAGATATATAAGCTGTGACATGAGTGACAGGGCTTCCAAGTGAAGAGCCCTTCATGTTAACAAGTAAGAAGGGTCTCATAGGTATAGAGTATCTGGGGTGGGAGTAGGCAGTAAGATGTTTAGGAACAGATTCCTGCTCACATTCCCACCACTATTACCAGAGAAAAGAAGAACTGAACAGTTTAATCATCCAGCATCATGAATTAGTATGTGACAAGTTTCTGTGGTTATAATTACCACTTTAACTATTCATCCCAAGTTGCAACCATTCCCAAGACATGTGTTCATGACTCATCAACATGAGTCAAATGGCTGCAATGATTAGCATGTAGCAGTTTATCTATCAAGAAGACATACTCCCTAGAATACATAAAGGAGTGCTGAGGGTGAAGTCCCAGTTGGTTTTACTCATTTTATGCAAGCTCTTGCTTACCCTCTAGTTCTTAGAAGCACAAAATTCATGTAGGTTTAAGAATTGAGAGGTTCTTCATTGAAGTGCAAAGAAGGCTCGCCATGTATCTTTCTCAAAGAACAGGCAATGGTGATTAAAATTCTATTAGTTTAATAATCAGTGCAAAAAGCAAAACAAAAAGGCCAAGTGGTTTCCATAAATGTTCGTTCAAACCTAGTAGACAAATTCTGGGATAAATGGTTTTGTCTCTGGAAAGCATCCTAAGCAGTTCCCTAATCATGCCATGTGTGTGTGTGTTTGTGTGTGTCACAGAAAGCCCTCAGAGCTAAGGAATACGAGTGTTTCGTGATGAAAATCCAGAGGCTGGAGAACCTGTGTCGTGCTTTACAAGAAGAGAGAAAGGAACTCTATAAAAAAATCAGAGAAGCAAAAGTATCCGAAAAGGAAGACCAGGGTCAGCACACCTCTGACGAAGAGCCAGAGTCAAATGTCTCTGAAGATAAAGAAACAGATGCAGAGGAAGCCAACAGTGTTCAAAACGCTGTGACAAACTTGGCCACAGCTTTCACCATCCTTCATCATCCAGAGTCCACCCTGGACCAATCAGAGGAAAGACAACCAGCAGTGATTGGTCCTCAGGGTGGAAGTGACATCATCTCCCAGCAGCCCGAACTAGCCCTTCTGAACCCTGTCACTGCTTCAGGGAGTGTTGAGCCTTCTCTGGATTCTCAGGGTGAGGCAGGAGGGCTCTGTGAGGCTGTGCCTGCCTCTACAGCCAGCTGTACCCCTGCTGGGGCAGAGCTCCAAAGCCAGGGACTTCCTGCCGGAAACCCCCTGGACCTGAAGCTCCAGAAGCCAGAGGCAAAAGCTTCTGATCAGGCCCCAGTGTCCCCAGCCCAGGGTTCCCTAGCTGTAGTGGAGGCAAAATGCACTGTTCTACCATCTCCAGAGAGTGAGGGAGTCCCTACTGTGGTGCCTGGCTGTGAGCACAGGGAGCAGCCCCTACCAGCAGCCACAGAGATCCCTCCAGGCCCTTCCACAGGGCTCCCTGTAGAGGCCTACACCAGTCTGGATGGAGTAGACTAAGCCTCATCGATTCTGCAAGCTGTTCACCCTGCTCCATCTTCCTTTCAGAATGTCTGTGAAAGAAAATTCAAATACTAGGAAGAGAGTTAGGGTCAAGACATTTTTAATGTTAAGTCTTTGCTGCCATTTGCATTGTATAACTAATGTGTAAATTTTCTGTAATTGTATCATTTTCCCATTGGAAGCCAAACATACCAATAGCAAATATACATTTAATTTCCATTAAGTTGGTACTTTAATCCAGTTTATTAACAGTAAGATTTGTTATTTAAGGATTCACATTACAATATATAAATATTCTAAGATGTTATATTTATTTTCACAACTACAAAGAGCTATAATGACTATTCAGGTTTCATTTAAATAGCAAAATATACACTGTGCTTATGTGTGTATATAATACACATATGTACATGTATGGATAAGTAATACATTTATGTGTATATATACACATATTTTTACACATGTATATAAAGTCATCATACAAGTATATTTCACTTCTTACAGATTTTTCTCTATTGCAAGATATTTATATGCTGACCAAAAGTTCTAATTTACATTCTGGACTGCAGTAGACTAATGCCCTATGAATCAGAAATAGGTTCGGAACACAAATATTTAGGCCATTACTACTTTGGTTGAAAAAAGTAACCCAATTTAAGATAAAGAACCTCAACCCAATGGTCAAAGGACAGATATAGCAAGCGTGTTAGAACACTTGTGCAGACAGCATGTGTATGCAAAGTGGACCACAAGAGATCCTAGACAGTAAAGGGGAAAAATCACGAGGAGGTGGGTCCCTTCTTCTAAAGCTTCTCCTCATATTCTGAGCCAGTTTCCTCCCAACTTCCCAGCATCACTTCTCTGGAACAAGCAGCCTACTTCTGGCTACATGTGAGCAAAGAGCTGGAAATGGGAAGAGAATCTAGGGTTTGAGGGGTTGAATGTCCTCTGGTACCTGCCTCTTTTGCTACTCAAGAAAATACCCACTTCTTGATGTCTCTAACCTTGTCTTCATCTCAAGGCATCTGTTCCTTCCAAATTCCCTCCTCTGTATCAAGTAATCATGCCTGGCCCACATCTCAAATAATGTTAAGCAAAATGTATTTTTCCAAAGCAGAAATCCACACAAGTTTTCAATACAATGTGAGGCTTAACAAAGCCAACACATTTTCTGCTTAAGAATTTTTGCATAGGCAGAAGTACAAAAATTTAAAAAGGAGAGGGGACTCTACTCATAATTCAAACATAGCAGGTGAGGACTCCATAGATGTCAAAAGCTAGAAGCACCAGGAACTGTTCCTACAAGTTTTACACTCTCATTGTCGATAAGAACCTCTAATAACACTGACAGCATATATCACTTGGCCTAGGCTAAAAGACTATACTAACAAAACAGAAGAGTTGGAAAGGAGGGAGACAAAAGGAGCTTCAAGAGAGAAATGTCTAATCAACTTTAAGAAGTTGAACTTGCTGGACAGAGATGCCAAATGCCTTTAATCCCAGCATTGGGGAGAGAGAGGCAGTGAGTTTGGGGCCAGTCTGGTCAACAGAGTGAGTTCCAGGACAGCCAGGGCTACACAGAGAAACCCTGCCTCAAAAAACAACAACAACAACAAAGTTGGCCTCAGGAAGAAAAATGAATAAAGGAAGATTCCTGACTACTCATCCAGAAAACCATTCTTCAGTGGTGCATGTGGCTGTTTGCCAAGGCACACAAGGAGCTGGTATGCAATAGCCATATGTTAAAAGAATTATAAAACTGTACAAAATGTGTTCAAAGTAGACAGTAATGGAAATAACAAAAATACCATCTGAGAAAAAAATCAGAGGGAAAAAAAGGATGCCATTATTTGAGAACCCATGTGTTTTTAGAGGCTTTGCATATTATAATCACAAAGCTATCCAGCCAAGTTCAACACTACTGGAAATTAAACATTCAATTAACTCAAAGCCAAATATTCACCATAATAATCCCTTCTGTTTACAGGAGTTGAGCTTCAAAGAATGCAGTAAGATCACCACAATTAGGTCTCGGACCTAAAGCTTAGGGAGACAGACAGTCAGGAGGCACTGACATCCAATAAATTAAGTATTCTAACACCCAAAGTTTATTATTTTCATCCAAAAGGGTTTCACAGCAACACATCGCTCACAAGTGTGTGTACCTTTGGCACACTTTCAGAGGCTATAACTTCCCTGAAGTCTGTAAAGCTTTAATATAGGCTTTGGGAGAATTATTTTAATAGTCAAAGATTATTTTATTAGAGTTCTTTGTGTTCAAACTTGGCCTTACTCATAATAAGTCATAGGCTCTGAAAGCAGAAAATGTATCTCTTCTTTATCAAGCTCATGCAACTATTTTTAGAGATGCCAAATCATTCTAGAAACACTAGAATTATTGTTTACTAAATGTAATAACAATGTCTGTACCAATCAAAAAGGCTTTTCTCCCAAATTTTCTAGTAGTTTTTAAAAATTATTTTTCTGTTTTATTCTTCCATGATTCAACAATACCAAGTAAAAATATGGCATTACTCTATTTTGATTGAGTTTGGGCTTTCTAAATAAAATGCATATGTAGTAAGTTTTGGGGGAACATAAATGGGAGAGGGGCTAAGGAATAAAGGGAAAGACCATAGTAATAAGGCTATAGTCAAAACACTCAGCTCTGTGAAAGCAAGTACAAACAGGATGCCCAGTTGCATAGTTTGACAAGGGAACATCATACATTGCACTTATTGCAGTGCACGTGCACACACACACACACACACACACACACACACACAGGTTCCCATTGCACACACTTCAGGTTTGCTTACTGGACACTGGATAGCTGAGATATTTAAACTTGACAAAGCTGAAGCACCTCAAATTCCTGCACTTGGGAGGCAGAGGCAGGAGGATCTCTGTGAGTTCAAGGCCAGCCTGGTCTACATAATGAGTTCTAGGACAGCTAAGACCACATAACAAAACCTTGTCTCAAAATATTAAACAAGTTGATATAGCTCAAAACGAAAAAAAAGCCCAATTCTAGAAACATACATACATACAATATAACATAAGAAAAAGTAAAACTCCTCTTTATGAAGTGACAAGAATGATAATTTCAAAAATTACCACATTGACTAAGTAGAGCCAGTAGTTAGAAAAAAACAACAAAAGTCTCTATGCACTCCAAAATCTGTGGAACAAGTGGTGGTTATGTGGTTCTACTGAAATGGTATCCACCAGCATTATCTACACCCTGTATATTAAGTATGGCAAGGCTAGAAACCTTGTGAACACAGCATTGTGCTAATATATCAACCAGAAGATGAAAGAATCCATAGACTCAGAAACTTGGAAAATTGAGACTCCAAGTATGTTCAATTCACTTAGCGTTTTAATTAAGGAGTTAATTAATTGGGCATAGCATTGCCCAAGTCTAATAGAGGACACTGCTCCAAGAATCACTATTGAATTCCTAGTTCTCAGTCTGCTGCCAGCTACCTGAATTACTTTGGAGAACTTTCTAATATTTCTGAGCATCAGTTCACTTATCTACAAAATAAGAACCTTGATGTTATGGTTTAAGGAATTACCTTGGTATCAAGTTTACTTACAAAGAGGAGGATTTGGGATGGCCAATCTTGACTGTCAACTTGACTGGACTGAGAAGCATTGAATGGGTTAGTGACACATGCCACTGACTGAGAGTGGGAGAGCATTTTCAGGGAGGAGTCACTACAGCGTATGTAGTACTGTCTCATAGATGAGGGACCTGGATGGAACAAAAAGGGAAAAATGAATAAAAATTTAAAGAGATTCTCTCTCTCTCTCTCTCTCTCTCTCTCTCTCTCTCTCTCTCTCTCTCTCTCTCTCTCTCTCTTCCCTCTCCCTCTCATTGTCCCTCCCTTCCCCCTTCCCCCCTCTCCCCTTCCTGGACACCGTGATGTGAATTCTTCCATCATCCTGCCCTTGCTGGAATGGGTGGACACCTCTACAAACATAGCAAAACAAGCTTTTCATTGCCTCAGTTCACACCTCAGGTGTCTGTACACAGCAACAGTTGGCTAATACACTTGCACTGGATGGTCTTGGAGGATTTGGGTATTTCTGATTAAGTCTTCAAGACCATAAAACTAGGTCAAGCTTCCTACTCTCTGAGGAGCGCTTCATTCCAAGAGATGGAGGCACCGTCTTGGCACTTCTGTTACAGGCCAGAAAAGGAAAAGGAGACAAGAAATCCCCAACCTTTTATTTTAGAAATCACACAACAGGATTTTTCCAACATGCATCAAGGTTCTTCTGCATGTGAGTTTTTGTGCCAGGTCCCATGATGATAGTAGTTAGAAGACTAAAGGAAGGAAGACTTCAGGCCTGAGGAGTCCCACCCCATGCCTTGTGAGAGAAATACAAAAACGAATGTTTTAATCACTTTATAACAAATGGGATACACCAATCTCCAAGTGGAGAACATTCTCCTGAGGATGCATGCTTTCTAATAGAACATGGCTATTTGTATGTATATGTAAGGCTATGTATATGTGTGCATGTATAATATGTATATGTGTAGCTTTATGCAAGTATACTGCATACCATGTATTATCTGTGAATATTTATGACCAAATATGGCCCTGTATGCATAATAAATTAACATGAACTTACATAAGTCTGTGTAGTTATATTTTTGTTCACTCTGTGTGTGTTGGGGAGTAGGGACTGAAAGCTCACTCTGAAGATATAATTTTGGTCACGTGGTTAACAAGTTTTTCAGAGGAGCACGTCTTGCTGCACTTGGCTCAGTAAATCCTTGGCTTACAAGTCACAAAGCTTACTGGGTTTGTTTGCTTTGGTTGCTTGTGTTGTTTTGTTTTGTTGGCTGACTCTGCCTTCCGAACAAACAAGCAGGAGGGTGAGGCCGCACGTGTCCACTGGCAGTTGTTCATTAGATAATTGCACATGCCACTAGTCCAAGGTGACAGCGCTCATCCCAGGAAGGCAAATGTGCATCTTGAGAAATTCTCTATGCCATTCCTCACAGAGACCCACAGCTGGAGTAAGGAGCAGCACGCTGCTGGAAAGCAAGCTGTCTTCATTCATGCCTTCCTTGGGGAGGGAGAAGCTCCCCCTTGGTCACTGTCTTTTACCATGGCGGCAATGTTAAGGGCTAAATTATAGTCTCCTCAATCTCTGCCACGTTACCTGCAGCAATAACTGAAACTCTGGATATTAAGAATGTTTCCTTAAACCAAAAGCCAAAGAGAAATTATTTTAATCCATTTACACTTTAATCATGAGTCAGAAGGTAGTAAGCCAGCGT